CGCGAGTGATGAAACACCAAGTAGTCTTGTGCGCGGCCAAATACATCCCACGACCAAACTAGGATGAGTTTCCTATTGGAGTTCAACTTGAATGAAACAAGTTAGAACTGCGTAAGGCGGTTGCCCCGCTTCAGAATGCCAACACATCNCACATCTTTCGGGTACACCCCCTTCAGAACTCAATATCATTAAACTGTTATAGCTGTTTCAAGGTAGGCCCTCGTTCATTCCTCGATTCATATATTGTCTTGCACCGCGATGCAGTCTTCAAATAAAAACGCCCCAAGTGTTCTCCAAAGGGTTGCGATCAGGACTGAATGTAGATCAGGCCATCACTTCAACATCGTATCCGGGTCAACTAAGAACGGTAAAGTGCCGTGTTACCCTAGTGGAATACAGTCTCCACCCAAATGTTCAGCGCCATTAACGGTAGTCGTGTTCCAGTATGCGAACTTTCAAAAAGCCTTTTGTTAAGCGAGTCGGCTACTACATTGGTCAGTTGGAGAACTAATATTCAGGAATCATTGTCCATTGACCATTACCTATTTCAGAATCTCGTATAAAAGCTCTTGCCTCGACTAGTGTAACATCCAAAAATGGTTATTGTGCTTTATCCAGATAGTGCGAAAATCTAGAGGTCCGGAAACTTTTGGCATGGGGTGTACTTACAACGACATAGAAAGTGTGGCTGTTCCGCTTTTAATAAAACGCATTTTGTAACTATTTTTTAAACTGTTAAACAATCAATACCGATGAAAAGAATTCGACTAAATGAGAAACATCATGATGCACAGCTGAAAGGAAGATGGATGCATTGGCGCAAGAACAAACGGTTCCCAAGAACCACGAGAAAAAAGTATTGGCTTCCCTCTCCGGAAACTAGAAGCCTAAAAAAAATAACACCGAGTGAGTAGTATGCTTGCGTTCTACCTGTGAGGTCCCGGGTTCGATCCCCAGTTGAGTCGATGGATTCGCACTGTTGATGAGACCCAACCAGGTCGAAACAGCTGTCCAGTGCTTCCCAGCTTTTCAGCTCACGCCTCATTTACATGGGGAATTCATCACATAAAAATAACAACAATCAGAGGAAACCGATCACCAGGGTATGTGACTCCGGAATGGCAGAGGGGAAGGATGAGACGGGAAAATTAAAAGAGGAATAAAACAAAACAGGAGCTCGACGGTACGAGTCCGATCATCAGCTTTTCCGTCCTTCATTTTATCACCTCAGGTTCCATTATTCAGAGTTTTCCGTTTTCATAAACAAAAAAGACAGTTATTTTGCCTGTGGGAATCAATTCTAATGTTCTTAGAGCTATGACCATAAAGTAAAAAGTGAAATCGGGAATTCCTGTGGGCTGATCAATCAGTTACTGTTTATCATTGAACGGGGACGAGTGATTTTTGTTTGTATTCAAAGAGGCGATATTCATGCACCTATCTACTGTTGAAAAGGAGTAACAGAGCCCCAAATGCCTTTTTACGCATTGATGACGAGCACAGGAATCCATCCATCCATCTAGGATGGAAGTGTATGTACTACGAGGACCACTATCTAGTTGTCTGATAAAGAACCAGTGATGGGAACAACACTCCGCTATTATTCCCCGGAGCTCATGATATACGTGTGGACAGTTGCGTCTGGCAAATTTGTGGACGTGTGTGTAATGAACTGTTATTGTCCGTGATCTGATTAAGTGAAACCCACACATGTTGATAGAAGAAAGATTAACGGGCACAATTAAGCGAGCGGAATAATAGTGATATTCTTCTGTTCACCTGTTCTAAATCAGTGGAGCCATACTCACGGTTTACAAGTGACACAAATACTTGTGGTACTGGTACTGATTTTAACTGACCGTCCTTCAGACTTTGTCTTCACACACACAATCGTCAGTTCACCCAGTCAACCATACACTCAGAAGCACTAGACTCGATGTTTTCTCTTATTAGAGCCCATCATTAGTGCCTATCCATCGCCTGCGTTGCCACTGTATCAACTAACTCAGACACCAGGGCTGAAGCGAATAGCTAATTCATGTTCGTTCAAGTGTCGTCTTCAGAGATAGTCCTTCAGTTCATTGTTGGCCCGATAGCGACCAAGGGAGACACAGTTGACTATCTGTTAACTTCAATTGAAAGCCTCTTACCAAATCAGGTTTTCCATGTAGGTTACAGGCTGGATGAATAATTCACAACTAATTCACAGATAATTGTTTACTCTGTCCACAGAAAAAAGATTGCCAGACAAACGGAATCGAGGTTCAGATATATAAGACAACCCAACAATGAATGATGAACAAAATCGAATCGGACTGGCAGCAAGAAGACAGTAAGAGATAAATTTCATCGGGTTCTTCTTCCACCCATATCTGTGTCAAATCCCTACTCTGGTTTGCTGTTAGTGAAACACTGTCAACTTGACAACACCATACAGGTATTATACACAATACAGTGTGCAAATTATGCCTAACCGACGGTCCGAATATCCCCATGGGACAGATCAACATATCTTACGTCTCCAGCCAATAGAGTCGGTTCTGAAAGTCGGGTATGGCGCTTGTTTTTAAGACAAAAAACAACGAAGACTAAATCAGGATATGACAACTGAAGGCAAGAACCAAAAAGGCACATACAAACAAAAAACACTATACAGATCAGAGGGAATAGGTGTGACTAAAAATAATCGATAAAGCGGAAGACAAACTAGCACAGGTTTGAAAGAGTATACCATTGATTCCTTTTTCTCATACGAAAACAATCTTTTTAACAAGAACTGTTTTTTATAAAAACTGGAAACTTCGACGTAACCAGTGGTGTAGCTTAAACATATAATTCCATGCAGCTTTTCACTGATGGATTAGCCTACCTAATTACTTCAAAATAACGGACTTAGAACGTAGTTAAACAATGCCACTTATCGAATCAAATCCTGGTCACTATCACGTGATAAACAATCAGGTTTGGAATGTTTCCAGCCGAGTCATAACCCTGGAGGTTAGTGCTGAGATGAACGAGGTGCGGTGTCCGCAACAAGCTATATATATATATATATATATATATATATATCGTTTATAAGAGGAATATGCTTGCGTGCTACCTGCGAGGTCCTGGGTTTGACCCCCAAATATAGTCGATAGGGTTCGCGCACTGCTGATGAGATCCGACCAGGTCGAAACAGCTAACCAGTGCTTCCCAGTTTTTCATTTTACGCCTATTTTGTTCTTAACATAACAAAATTCACTGCATAATCGAATCATATTTACCATCACTACCATTTAATACCAGGTGTCTTGATTCACCCAAAAACATTCACCGACGACTTGGTCAAATTTAAAAAGAAGCCCACTCAAGCCACATTATTTATCACTGATACCGCACGATTTTACAACGGGACACGAATAACGCGCATCAAAACAACTACACCTCTGAAGAACTCTAACGAGGTATACAAAAATATTGCAGAACTACAGATTACTATATGAAAGGTTTGTGTCCTGTACTTCGCGTTTCCATATCAGTTTGCCCTTGACTATTACGTAAAGGGCAAACGCTATAAATTAATTATGACCTGAGGAATTTCGTCGTATACAGGACAAAGGAAACGCGAACCGAAAGGCACTGTACAGCTGTTTCGACATTGCTAGATCCCATCAAAATTACGAATCCATCAGCCCAACTAAGGATCGCGCCCAGGATCGCAAGCATATTACGCATCTGACTACATTTTATGCGCGGGAGATAAGTCAATCACTGCCATGTTTTCCGTAGCTCGCAAACATAACGGTAGTAAGGATGATCACCTTTAATTCGTAAGGAAATACGCCGTGGTTCAGTCCAATACTGATTGGGACCCACAGAAGGCGCACAGTTTATGATTAAGACTAAACAACAGGATCAACTGTCACATCGATTGTATCTTCAGCCCGTCCCTCCCCCCCCCCCCCCCCCGAATTCATCCCATTCACATTGGTATACTCAAATTCTTTTCTTCTCAAAGTTGCTATTTCTTCCTATTCTTTATATGAATTGCCCTTCAAACTGATGCATTAATTTACCAGCAAAGGGAAGCACTTTGTGGGTTCACTCTAAGCACCGTAGTATAGATTTGATCGTCCCCATGTAATTGCTTAGGGCAACTGTGACCACATCATGCTCGAAATGATCTGATGAAAAATCTGGATTCGCTATAGAGAGAACCGGGAACAGTTATTCTGCTTTCACACAAGCGCATACAATCAAATTGGGGCTGAACGCAAGAGGTATTTCCCATATGGTTGCACGTTGGTGGACACCCGACAGTTTCAATTGATGAGAACTTCCCAGCAAGAATCTTGGAATACGCGCGCAGGTACGCGAAAAAAAACGAACAGTAAACGCATTGTAGAATGGTTTCCCTTATATACTCATCAACCGATTGTGCGCATCGATACGAAGCACACGAGAGCGCTCGTGCATCCACTAATTATTCCTGTAACACCATTCCATATGAATTCTGCATCTTCCGCTTGAATTTGCTTTCAACATTCCAATCTTCTTTCTACTCTTTTATCCAAATGGGGCACCAAAAGACAGCAACCAAAACCGGTGCACGAAAGTGCATGGTTTATGGTTGTAAAAACTGAACTGATCACGAGGGCAATTAGATAGAGCAAGAATGGATTCGACTGGAACACCAGGCAGACGAGATACACAAGGGGCGAGGCAATTCGCAATTCGAAACGAGACCCACTGAATTTGTTCGACTGAAACAATATGATGACTATATGGGGAACCAAACGGGTCACAAGCAAATGATGAATACAGCACAGATGAAGGAGTCCGTACGTTTTACTGCCCGCCTTTCCAATCTGCATGCTATTAACCGAGCGGATCAAACTAGAAGCAAATTGTGAATGCGCGACTTGGTTGACATTCGGACCGAAGTGTGTGAGAATCACACAGAGACAGATGGATAACATGTGATCCGGAGCGCCTTCAGTTATCATTCTCATCGTTATTCAATGAAGTTCACCGGAAAATTGTCAACAAGTGAGAGCCAGATGATGGATTCATTTGTAAACAAATCCTAATCGGTGATGCGTTCGCGCAACCGGACGGACGACACGTTAAACTACGAGGCTTTCTACGATAGATAGGATACAAATAAACAACATGGGGTGGTGCGGGCATTCACTTGCCTTTCATCCCTCCCCCGATCACATACGCACCCATGTATACATACGAAAGTGCATGGTGAATGGTTGTACAGCCGAGAATGAACTGCTATATACACATATGTGTATACGTGCATAGACGCATGAAAAAACCCTTTCCAGTTGGTTGAAACTAAATGGCGCTCACCAGTTGGAGATATGTGACTGAAACTTGACTGTTGCTATCGATCAATCAATTGCATACTACCCATGTCACGCACTTCTTGACTGAAGAATGTGTAACTTGTTCAAGGTGATAAACAGATCCATTGCCGTGCTCGGACATAAAACACAAAACCGAATGAATACCAACGTATCGGGAGCTAGTCATTATAACGGATTTGTTTTCTCTCAACAAATCATTGAAATACTACGAAACGGGATGGGGATAGTCTGAAATGCAGAGATGAAACATCCGTACGGTCAGCAAGCACAATGGAAAACCGGTGTGTATCACAGTGACAACTACGCGAACTTGTTAGAAGAACAGCTCAGCCAACCAGTCACGCAACCGCCCATCCGAACAGTCAACCAACCATTCGAGGCCATCATACTCTTGGTCCATCGATTTACTCGCTCTCAACTGGTCGACTGATGGCATATGAGTTTGTCTTATATTTTGATCGATAACTCACTATCCCGTGGTGTATGTTTTGTGCTCTCCTCCCTCTGTCTCTCGTGATTGGTGCGACGAAAGGAGCGTTTGTGTGATCGATGAGATGAAGTCAGGAATAGAACACAAAGAAATGGGGACAGTCAAGTGAATGGAACTTAAAACATGCGATCTAACTGTTTGCTTAAAACACACGGTAAGCTCAGCTCGTCAAGAAATGATCAGATTAGCAGTGGTAATTTGTCCTCATAGGGAAATGGAAGACATGTATGGCGGAGGAGAATAACGCATCGATCGAAGCTATGAAAACAAAGATTTTTATTCACAAATGTAACACATTCCGGGGGAGGGGGGCACAGGATACTTCAAGTCAACACATAGAGGTGCTGTACGCTACCGAGCGCGTCTCTAGATTACGGATAAGAGAAAGACAATTTAGATGGATATAGAGCAAACTGGCAGTCGCGATACCCAAGAACGTGTCGGATTTTTGCCTGGCAAGCAACGAATTTGCAACGAAAAGCCACAAATGCCCTTGAAAAAATATTTCGACGGGTTAAAATACAGCCATCACCACCTATTTTCCAGCTGTCCCACAGGTACCACTTGAAAGTGCAAGAGGTGCTAGACGTGAATCCGAGAAGAATACCCAATGGAATTGTGAATGTCACATTATACCAGACAAGAATCTTCTTACGACGTGGAATTAAGTCACCTGACACAAAATTAAACGCACCCATACACATACAGGAGCTCTGGTCGGAAAACTCTCAACATGTTCAATTTCATGTCATCAATACCACCTTCGTTTGTCATCACGGTTCATTTAACCATTGATTTTAGAAAGAAGGAGGAGGAAGAAGAGGCAGAGTATCGAATCAGACCCCGCACATGAACTCACCGATAGCAAACTGCAACTCTGTATGCCCGAAATTTTTTCGCATATCTTCGACAAATCGTTCACGAACCCGATGAATCTGTGGAGCGGAGAGGAGGGGGGATGGATGCAAAATGGAAAGAAAACAATGAGAACAAGAGGTCAGTGCAATGGCGTCTACCAAACAGAGGTGAGGAAGACCGAAAGTGTTCGCACTGGGATGGATGGATAATGCTAAGAACTGACATTTTTCCGGAGACAGAAAATTCTATTCTTAACAAATGCAGAAACCCACAGAGGTCAACAACGGCTAGTGAAGTACCGTTCAAAGTGCACGCGTATAAATATGCCAATTTAGGGGTCGGAACAAGCGGGTCATTCCATTCTTCCTGAAACGAGGACCTGGCCAATAAACAGGTTGGTAAAATTGGGAGACAGATGCGTCACGCATCTAATTTGATCATTTTCATAATTTTAGAATAGTGAAATTGAGTCCTAGGAATCTGGGTGTTGTCAATCCACAGCAGTTTAGGACACATGAGGAAGCTACACCGTGCCAATGAAACATAACGCTTCATCACTTTCGTTCAAAAGACATGCATTCAGTTACTACTATCACCAATTTACTGTTGTTACTATTTTTCATTATGATAATGAACATCATCCTCACACTCAAAATGACCGAAAATAACCAATCATCAGTACGAAAATTGTCACCTAACAACGAAACAATCTGCATTTGTATCCGGACCTCGGTAAGTCACAAGTAGACCGTACAAAAACCACTGAGTGTTGCCCAGACATATGCCGGGAAAAAAACAATGAGAACAGACGGATAAACCGGTAGTGTTTCAGTCGACGACGTACTAAAGAGATTTCGCTGTGGTTAGTTCTTTCTTAAACAAAATAACAGTTGAAGTGGAACTGGAGAATCCCGACAAACGTTCAAGCAAAGGCAAATAAGTAAGAACTGGAATCACATTACCGCATGCGAGTGGCACGCAGATGGACCATGGTGGAAGGGATAGATGACGTCAGCGAGGGCCTTATGAACAAACTTTTCACTGGGTTCGATGTGGTTTCTACTTGATAGTTTTCGGGGAAATTCAACCGCGACAAAAACAGATATGACAGGCAGATCGCGGAATTATGTTTGAAAAGTTTTTTATTCAGCAAACCGGGGATTATAAAGATGAAGAGTTGAAGTGAAATGGATAGAAAGCACAGGCCAATACAGGAAACACTAACAGTCAGTTAAGTACCAAATTATCTTATGTTACGCATTATAAAGGTCGCCTGCTGGAGCATTACCCTATAAATCACTGAAAAATGTGGTTAAAAGGCAAAGAGGCGAAACGCAGCCTGAGTTAGTTACTATGGTTTTTTAAGTCCTTCACCAACTTTGCTACGTTATGTTTGGTAGGATTAACAATCCTTTAGTCAAATAAGGAACGAAGGACTATGGAAAGATTCTTCTTTGCTTTGAAAAAGTAGGGGTTAGAAAACCGCGCCTAATAAAGGTGGTTAAAATTCCGTAAGACTGGCGCTGGTTTGAAAAAAAAATACGTATTTCAGAGGCCGACAC